ACATTTTTCATAGATGAACACTTTTGTATGCTGCAGCGTTATCAGAGCTTGATGCTGGCCTAGAAAATGAACAATAAGCCTAACTTAATACAAGTCACTTTACTTTACTTTACTTTACTTTTCGGGTAAAGTTCACTACTTTACTTTACTTTACTTTTTCAAAGTTAAGTAAAGATAAAGTGCCACCCCTAGCCATGATCTATTGTATCACATGTTCTTATCAATCGTGTGAGATTTAAATATTTATCCAAGTAAATTCAGAAAAATTCGATACTATGAATTGAAAAAAATGATTCGATTATCTACTCAAGTCATAGTTGTGAATGGATTCTTTCAAACTTCGCTCTCTATTGTATAGAGATAGTTTTTTTTGTTTCTTTTTCCCACGAACAATAATATTGCTTAACAATAGACTAACAATTTCTAACGATACTGCTACAATGTTCTTCTGGTATCAAACAGATAAAATCTTCCTTTTTTTTTGCATTACTCTAAAGTCATTTTCTATTTCTTTAAATAACGTGGTTATTATATCCACATGAGTATACAATAAGATACTATCTGCACTAATTCACAAGACGAATAATAATCGAAGACAAAATAAAAATTAAAACGTCGAAATTTAGAATCACATAAGCATTATGAATAATTGCTGGAAAATAAGCAATACAAAGCACATAAGTAGTGTTCTTGTCCATGATACAAATAAGCTATTCAATGCTTTTATACGTACATAATATTATATGGTTGCAATAATGACTCCGCTGAAAGAAAGAACCACCCTAGACAAACATCTTGTAAGCAAGATTTTGGTCAAGATACAAGGTACAGATATGTTAACAGATCTTGAAAATTTAGGTACAAGATAACTGTATTATCTTATACCCAAGATCTAATTACAGATCTTACATAAGAATCCATAAAATCTTGGATTCAAACTAAAATAAAACCTGATGCATTCTTGAATTTTTTTGGTGCAATCCTAAAATAGACTTTCTTTCACTTTCCGTTAGTTGTATTGCTTTGGGCATGCTATAGCTTAAATATTAGTGTTATCCTGTTTGTTAATTTTATTCAAAACCACTGATGATTCATTTAATATTATTAACCTATCATGTGGTCCTATATTTATGCACCACAAAAGTGGAGGCAGTTCTATATATATATAAGAAAATAAAAAGACCTCCGCTTGAAAATTTTATATCACTATTCTTATGACTAACCTATGTGAAATCACTAAAAAATATCGCTCATTTTATTTAGCTTAATTTGAAAATCGGTGGTCTTATTATTATGCACCAAACTGTATATGCACAGTATTTTATAAAAAATACTTTTCCGAATGTGCTCCGAACTATTGTACCTATGCGGTATATGGACGGCAGTATATTCTTATTGGCTTTGCAAGTTTGATATGTGTCGCACGTGGTTTATCAGTTGCCTTAAAACTCATAGCACTATGTCAATACATGTCGTTTATTGGTGTTTGAAATATGCGCTAGGTATGTGAAACATAAAATCTTCATCTTTTTATTTTGAAGTATTAAGTAAGAAAATAATAGAAACACAATAAATTATGCTAGAGATATCGAAATCCTGTTCGATTCAGTATAAATAACGAAGAACTCATTGGTTTCTCACTGCTAAATACAGACAAATGGATTTTCACAGACGTTTTAATTTTGACATAATATATTGATGCCAATTAGGTCTGCAACAAACTCCGATATATAGTTCGGGGCTCGGTGCATATCTAATGTCAATATGAAGGAACATTAGTCGAGTTGACTGATCAGCATGAACAAATATTTTGAGACAGAAGCTGCGCTACCTATCTTTACCTTTTACATAAATAGTACTTAGACAGTGTTATAGTGATTCTAAGTCGAATTAATATAAGTGATTATAATTTAATTTATGTTTATCTATTGAAATAGATCGACGAAATATAAATCTTATGTGGTATAGTTTACGTGAGAGATTGATTATCTTCAATTATTTCGTCAAGCAACATAAATCGTCTCCTTCGACTCTTTAAATCGAGCTGTATGGTAGGTACACGACTGTATATCGGCCTCTGTATTTTCGATTTTGGAATTCTTCTTGTATATAATTCTATATCTCATAATACAATTGTAATGATCAAAGAAAGACCAACAGAAGCAATCTATGAGGGACTCGCTTGTTCTGTCAAGTCTTCATTTTGAATGGCGGTACTCACGACTATCATTTGCATATGATTCATTCGTGATATTAAGTGCACGAATGCAGCAGATTTGCACGAGTCAATTTATAGAGATCACATGGATAGAGAGCATTTCCGGCAATGAAAATCGGTTAAATTTATCCAAAAGTGAATTTCGTGATCGTGGTTTTAGCTACTTTTCGTTCAGGAGTTTCTTTGTAACGTGGCTCAACGGACAGCCAATCAAATCATTAGATAGTTTCTTGATGAAGAAGTGTGTAGGTTTAGTTTAAAAAGAAAAAAATCTATACATTTCGTTTTCTCATTATTTTCTTTAGCACTAGTGTTTGGCATTGTTTGCATATAAATAACTTATCTTATTTCATTGCTTGGAAATCTTCTTCAAGCACATTTTTCCTTATTTGGTGTTTTCGCTGAACGTATAAGCGCTGTTTTTATGATTGGATTTTTTTCTTTCTTGAATTAGCTGAATGCCATTAATGGAAGTCTTTTTTCTGTAATTTCAACTGCACAGAAGAAAAATATAAACATTTAGGGTTTATTTATTGACTTAATTGTAAGTGTATTAATTCCAATATGGATATTTTTGGGTTCACACGTACTTCGACATCAAATGTGCTCATTTCTTTGACGAACACGTATTGATGGTTGTGTAGTATTAAACGGAAGTATGTCTTCTCCGATAAACTCAACAAGGTTTTCATCACTATGAAATGAAACTGCGACAATAACAATCCTTATTCACGAAGTTATCAAGGTTGTTTGAATAATTATAGATAGAAAGCTTGATGTGGTGTTCTGTGTTTTTGTATGTAGGCAAAGTCTATTAGCTCGATTTTATGGGATCAGCTATTTTTGGTACCCATTATAAACAATTTTTACTGTGCTGATTGTTAGTGTAGTAGTTAGCTATTTTACAGGTAGAATAAGAAAATAATTGATTATATGAATTGATCGAGAATCATTGCATTGATTAGATTTTATAAAACCAGAAAATACTGATCCAAAATTAATGATACCTGTATTTGATATTACTTTTTCTTTTCATTTTCTATCTGAATATCTATTGCTTATTATATATGCAAGCTACGGACGAAGAACAAAAACCACCATATGAAATGATGACGATATCAACAATTCATCGATCACAAAGTCAAGTGATAACAATTGAGGAAAGTTATCCTAATCCAGGTTATACAAATGATGAAAACGATGATAAAAATAAATAATCATCAATGAAGTTTTTCCACGTACTCGGAAATCTTCTTTAATTAAAATAATGAAGAGAATTGATTTTAATCTATAAAATGAACTATTGCTTCCTTAATTGTAATTTTTAAAATTGCTATTTCTAAAGCACCACTGTGAACTCCCATATTTATAAAAACGTTACGTGTTCTTTGATTGTTCAAATTTGAGCTATCTTGGGATTATAGTGCTAATGCTATGATTAAATTAGTAGGTTTATACAAAATTCGTTTGAATAAGATCGCAATTTTTCGACATAAATGCAAGAGAATCGTACATAAGCAGATGTACATGTTGTATTTATATGCATCGAAATATTAATTTCTTTTAGATTCTACATTATTTAGTGTACTCGCTACTTCATGCAAATATCGATTTAGATTTTCCGTTCGGGTTCTAGTTTGTGTTTTCATGAAAAAGAGAATTCTCTTCTATTTATATCACAAATCTCAAAAGATTTCAATCGCATGTAGAGATATTAATCATGATGCCAACACTGAAACTGGCGCTCAAACGATACGAGAACATGTATGATTGATTGTTAACAAAGAATTATGAGTCAACTCTAATTCAAGAATCACATTCGAATGTAATTATAGCCAAGTAGTCTGATATCAATATTTTTCACTTGTTATAAATAGAAAGAAAAGAAAAAGCAAACGAAATATTTTTGTTCGATCGATTTCTGATTTTGGAAAATCTCAATAATTAAGAATAGAATAAATTTTTTCATGAAGTCGTTTTCTTCGATAAACGATTTTTTATCATAGTTTTCAACTAACATCGATTTTATATCAGAGATGAAGACCATCACAAAGGCAACCAACTGCTATATATTGCCAGTACGATAGTTTCTTTGTAAGTTACAACTTTGAGTTTATGATAAAAAAAGACGCAAAATATCAATATTACAATAAAAATTGGATGAAGTGAAGGTGTACTGTGATTTGTGACTGTGTCTTCGTCCGTACATCCTCCATTGGTGTGCGATCAGAAAATAATTCTCAAATTTTCTGAATAGAACCATATTTCCTAAGTGGGCGATGATGAAAGTCTTTAAACATACTTTTCGTAAGTAAAAAACAAAATAAACTACTAACATTAGATATGATATTATCGACAATATTTTGCAGCATCTAATTAAAA